AATGATGTATGCAACTTCTTCTCCGTATTCGTACATCCATTACACCTCTGCTTGCTGTTCTCGAAGTTTCAAGTTCTTATGACAAACGTAGGGTGGGAAGATCTCTTAAGGTATTTTTTCTTATTTTAATTTTTTTTATAATCTATTGTTATTCTCTGCATAAATATAATATGATTTTTCGAATAATTATAGTTGAAACTTTGAATGACAGAAGCAAGAATTCCCAAATTCCATAATAAATTCGTAACCTACTCCCTTAGATAACCGATTACGTATAAAAAGAGTTTGTATGAAGAGAACTTGTCATATCTCTGTGATCAAATGAATATATGAGCTGTTACTGGCTCAATGATTAAAAGCTGTTTTGATCTAACTTTGTCTTAAAGAAATATTTTCTGGTAACACCACGCGTTGGGTAAAAGAGTTTACATTCAACATTTAATATAATCAGTCTAATTTCGATCATTTTCCTTCTCTTTGTCACCCTCTTCTCTTTCTTATGCATCTTACGATATCTTCTTCGTCTTATTTTTTCTTCTTTCTCTCCATTTTCTCTTCTTCTGCATCTTTATTTTTTTCTCTCTCTCTCCATCCTCTCTCTTTCTTCTTCCACTTCTTCAGTTCTTCTCCTTCATCTTTTTTTTTTCTTTCACTTTTAAGCTCAATCGAATCGAAGATGAATAAAGGTGGAAGAGAAGTTGGATTAAAAGCCAGATAAAACAAATAGATTAAAGAAACAAAGGCGAAGCAAAAAAGCTAGGATTTGCCTTTTAAAACAATCACATTGTGGGACCGAATTTCCATCTGATCCGGTGGACGGCGGTCTAATACTATTTTGCCGGTCCAAAAGGTCAGAAAGGTTTAAATCAAAATACGAGTTTCAATCTTAATGAACCGGAGTTATTGACGAACTTGATGGATTGGCCAATTCGGTCGGGTTCATAACATTGTACTTAGCACTAGAGTGCAGCCAATCAAGCTCTAGAGTGGTTTTCCTTAGCTTTTAAAGTAAAGAGGATAAAAATGAAAGAAATTAGATGATGGGACTTAATACTGTAACACCCCCCCTCCAGCGGGTACCCTCTAAGTATTCCATTAGGATGGAAAAATTAGAGAATTCACGCCTGGAAGGTTGGTTTTTAACGTAAATCCTGGTTATTAACATGTCTATATGAAAAAAATAAATAAACTTCTCCTCTCATTAATCACTTTCTTAATCACCTATCAAGACATATATAAAAATATGGTTTAAAGAAAATAACAACATCAATTGTTTAATAGCGGAAGCAATATAAAATATCTCCCATTATTTATAAGCAAAACATATTTACTATTTCATGAAATAGATTATAAAACTTAAACTATATACATTAAATTCAAAAGCAACATCCTTTATAAACATATTAAGTCTAGCTAGAACAAAAACATGCATGCCCACGCCTCTTGACCGCCGCTCGCCGTACCGCTTTAACCATTACCGCAAAATATGAAAACTAAGGGATGAGTGCTAATCACTCAGTAAGGGTATCGATCATTTAACCCTATGTAACATTCTTAAACTTAGGAAGTATCTTTTTACTTGTACATGAACCAAACATTTATAACATAAAAGTAATAAACATAGCATATTCAATCCATTCAAATGCATAATATAATTCACGCAAGCTTTCCTTTATATTCATGAATAATGCACATCAATGTCATACATGTATAATAAATTTTTCTTGCAACCTTTACTGTTTACCGATCGGACTAAGAGGGGCAGGATTACGGGACCTTTGGCCAATGAGCTACGCTTAACTTATAACACAGTCCCCTGGTCATGCACGCTATGGACTGTTCATTTCTTTCGGTCTAGAATGTGCATGAGTGAGCTCAGGTTCCCATAACATGCCAACATTTCCATAACATTACAAATCATTTTCCTTCACAAAAATGATCTGTCTATGTACCTTGGGAAGTATTTGCTAAACTTGGGATCAAGTCCCACTTTTTATCATTAATATGTTGACATGCTTTATTCTAAAAAAAAACATACACTTTCCATATATGAACATATCATTTCATCATGGCCATTTTGTGGATGCATAGATATTCATAAAACATATCGTACCTAGGCTTGGTTATACATACACAAGCTCAAATTAGGTAATACAAACATATTATACGTAACCTCCCTGGTCATTCATTACTAACTATATATGCTCATACAATCACTAAATAATCATAAAGATCACTCATTCAAACGTACTTCAAAACCCTTTAAGCATCATTTCCCTAGGATCATCATTCTGCACAGGTCAGATTCAAAAAGGATAACTTGAGTATACATCTCGGATTGCTATGGTTTTGGTCTCGTTTAAAGCTTAGAGAAAGGGCTACAACTTTTATGTTTTGTCTCAACCCAGTTCAATCATTAAGATGCCCAAAAATTACTTATAAAGTTACGGCTGTGATGGGCAACCATGTAACATGCCTATTTTAGGGTTTTTCCTACCTATTTAGCTCACTTAACTCCCTAACATTTCCTAAACCATTCTCCCCTGTGAAAACATGTAAATGATCACTAATAACCTCCCTGTAATATGTTAAAAAATCATGTCACAACTAATTCCTTGATGTCATCAAAGTTCATTGTTTACAATTCACATATAAATCCATCAATTATAGCATCAAAAACTAAGCTCAATTGCTATTGTGTGACAATAATTAAGGTTCCCTAATACTAACCCTAGAACCTAATTCTATTTCCTATTAAAGGGAGGTTTCCCTTACTTATGTCAAGAAACCACACTCCTTGCAAATTTCCTCCTCCTTATCCCCAATTGACCCTTATCCTAACATAAATTATAAGGAACTTCAATAATTTGCAATACACATATTTATATAAGATAAGGAGTTGAACTTTACCTCCTAATATCCTTAATAAGGAGAAATATAAGACACTTGAGAGATTTGCAACTAAAAGACTTGAAACTTTAATGGAGAAGTGAGAAAAATATGGAAGCTTGTAGAAAACTTGAAGAAAAGAAATGAAAGTGGTAGAAGACATGTTGGCCGACTCTTATCACCTAATATCTTCTTTCTTTCTTTTTTTTTTTTGCTAAAAATTATTCATTTGACCTTGCCTTTTGCATTTAATGTCCTAAACATTATTTCCCTTTTTGCCCTCAAAATTGTCTATTAATTACTCCTTAATCCTTCATCATCTTTATCTTGTCAAGCCAACAAATATCATTATTCTTTACCACTTACCCCTAAGGCATGTGCATGGTAGTTAACTTAACACATAAAAAGGAAAAGACTATTTTACCCTTGGATGCACGGTGGGGTTTACAATTACTAAACCAATTAAGAGATTAGATTTCAATTGATCCCTTTAAAAAGAGATTTTTATTAATTGTTTCTGTAAATAAAACAAATTGGAACTCAAAACATTTATGGCTAATTATGTCAACAAATCTCTGATGAATAATGTATGAGATACCCATCATCATAATCATTTTATGAAATCTACTCTTTACATTAGTAAAACTAACAAATTTAAAAGATCTCTCATCATGTAAAAATGTAAAATAAATCATTATTTTATTAAAAAAAATATTGAAAGCAAGAAAATACGGAAAATAAAAATACATTAAATAGTTTTGTCCAAAAATACGTTATAAAAGAAATGAACATACACAATAATGTTTTACAAAATTAAAATTAATATTACAGCATAATCTTAGGCCCAAACTAACTTTCAGCGTAATCTAAAAAGGGCTCAAGCCCACACTTTTTAAGTATATAAAACTTATTACATAAAAAACATTCAACATTCAAAAACTTAATGAATTATATTATTAACAAAAGCACTTATATCTGTATCTGCACATAGCCACATACCCACTGGTTTCATGAAACAAAATTTTGATGTACTCAAGCATGAAGAGTGTTTGACAGAATTTGAACATGATCCAGACTTAAAAAGAAAAACTGGGGATAGAGAAGAAACCAACACCTCTTTCCCTTTTCCACACTTTCATTTACATTAGGCAAGATATGTTATCAGACTTATGCATAATGGAAAACTCTACAAATTAATTGAAGTAACATTTTACTAATTAGTACTAAATTATTTTCTTTGTAAACAAGGGAAACAACTTTTGGCTTTAAGGCATTGTTTTTATTAATATGCTTAAAGATGGACATTAAAACTAAATGACATATTATCTACTTCTATATTATCAATAATCATCCTTTCTTTAAATAATTCGACGCCAATTAAAGGAATCTTTTACCCTGTTTCCATGGAATAATACAAGATCTTATCACTATTACCCTGTTTCCATTAATAAGCTACAAATACAATGAAGCCCTTAATCTTCTAAATAAACAAACATATAAAAAAAAGTTCATCAAGATTTGATGTGAAACACTGGTTAGTTTCTTCTTTTGTACTTTGCAAGTGAAACAACGGTGAAGAAGCATTTTTTGATTGCGACGTTGGATCATCGTTGGGAAAGAATACTTGAACAAAGATCTACCAAGGAAAATTATACATGAATTGTCGTTCAACAGGGTCACTCAATGAAGACAGGCAAATTGATAGAAGAATCTGATCATGATCTGAGAGAACTTGTAGGACAAGTGTTACATTATTGAGCTCAATCAGGTATGATCAACTTCAGTCAACTGCAAGAAACCAGAAAAGTGAAGGAATTAGATAGCGTTTGGAATCAAGAAAACAATCAACAAACAAGTAGCGAACTATAAAAGAAAAAAGCAAACCCAAATCCGCAATACGTCATCAATATTATTGCAATATTTTATACCCCTCGTCACAGTGATTGTATTGCTAATAGAGATATCACTCATATAAGATAATAATGTGTTTACCCCCGTGGGTCACCCTTATAGGTGAAACCCTTATTGTTGAAGTGGTTGTAACTCCAACAAAAAGGTCTCGTTCAGAGAACCATTCTCGCAAAACTTGATTAGCAACTTGTCGAGGTGGGCATTGCTTGCACTGATAATTGATCTCCTTCTGCTTCCAAGTCTGGGCATAGTCCGTCATTTGTAACTCTCTCCAAAAATTTTGCATTCCTAACCATAGTGGTTCAGAAACAAATCATAAAAATATATAATAAATTAAAAAATCTGATTTTTTGGTTTGCCCTCTAGGATGTAATAAATAAATAAACAATTGAAACACAGAAAGATCAAGCTCGTGAAACTTATGACATGTATGAATTTCTGGAAAGAGTTGGGCAATCATTTTGAGGAGGCAGAACCTTGTATGAATTTCAGAGAAAGATCAGGCTCGTGAAACCTTGTGGTCCTTTGAAGGTTTTTCTAAAAAGACATCTCATTAGCCACAATGTATGAATTTCTCACGATCAATGATACTTTCTGACATCTTTGCTTTAATCAATCACCAAACTGAAATTCACAGAAGTCATAGTGAATTGGAGTTAACTGGATCTTTGCTCACCATTGAATCTTTTGGTCCAGTGGAATCTGTGTGTTTGTATTCCATTACAGTTGAAGGAAGATTTCCTGAAATGAAACAGGGGATTGAAAGAGTGTGGAGAATTAAATGTACAAGCTAATATAAGACGGGATGACCAATCTTTGATACTCATCTTCAAATAAATTTTGCATGCTGTAGTTTCCTATTGCCCATTCTCACATACCATACAAAATGAAGTGAAATGAAACAATAGAGAAGTGTATAGTTATTTCCTTGTGTAATATGTAAAATACATTTGATTTGTAGTTAGGTATTAATGGTTGCTTAATTTCTGTCTTGGGATTTTTCTTTTTCAATAGAAGTTTATTGGTGGCTACTTAATTGTTTTATGTTATGAGTTTTGCCTATTCATTTTTTTGTTGGTTTTAAAGATATTTTTGTTTCTAAATCGGATTGTACATTGTTAATATCAAGAGGTGTCATTTTCTCAGGCAGTAATGCCCATTTCTAATGGTAATATTATGAGACTTTTGACCACAAAATTATGCAAACTTGTATGAAGAACTTTGTCATATCCTGAGATCATGAGCTGTTACTCGCTCAAATGATTAAAATAACTCTTCTAATCTAAATTTTGTCTTAAAAAAAAAAAAAAAAAAAAAAAAAAAAAATTCTTCTGCAATAAAAGGTCTGACCGAAATGGCATTATAGAATACTATCCTTTGCACTAATGTAATGGATTCATGGGGAGATCAGCAATTTTCATGCACAGAAACCAAAACTTCAAGCCCAGAACGTTTAGTATGAAATTCAGATGGGGATTTATCCCCATATATTAGAGAAAAATGAATAAGATATTTCCCACATCCATGCTCTGATCATCTGGAAAGTTAATTTACTACTGCAAAAATTTAGAGGCATCTACCTCACACATTGCCTTCATAAAATAGTCGATTGCCACATTCACTTGACCATAACACCTGGAAAAACACCAAATCATGACAACTGAAATCGAAAATTAAAAACAATTGCGGTAAAGGAAGTTAAGATTGATCCTTACCAATATTAATGAAGGCCAACGAGAAATATTTTCAGGATCGAGTAGTCCCACTTTTCTTCATCATGTTTCTTGCTTGTGAATTGACATCTTCGTACCACAGCCAGTGAATTTGTGACACATTTGAAATTTGAAATTTGACTCTGATGTAAAAATCTGAGATAAGTTAATAAACTTCCCGGTGAAGGTTGAGGACTGATTACCAACGATCAAACTTAGGAATGAAAATTGCAATATGGAAAAGTAAAATTGACTGACCTGATACACTTGTTTCTGAGATTAAATAGAGCTCATCATCCTCCTCTGGATCATAGATGAATCGGGAATCTACTTCGACAAAGGCATGTTTGCTATCTAGACCATTCTCGTCTTTATCTCTCTTGCATTTTTTTTCAGCAAAGGACAATCGTCAATGATAATTGCAAAAGTGAAGATGGCAGGCCATCTCTGGAAAAGATGTAAGCTTTGGGCAACTATAAATACGCAACGTTTTAGAGAGGTTAGGTCACGAAAACCTCTGGAAGATAAGTATTTCAATTTAGGAAATTCTGAAATGTGCAGATCAGTTAGAGACGTGGGCAACGTCATTCCTATCTCATCCTCTGGAAAAGACACTGCATCTGGACATCATGTATCCAAAGGTTGTAAGGCAGGTGAACTTGTGCAATCCCACCCCCCTCAGAGGCTTAGATTTCGTGATTACCACCAATCCCAGAATTCTTAGGCTGGTAGGAAACCTTCTTCTGGAAACGATTTGATACTTGGACAACCCGATATTGATAATGCTTGGAGACAGTGAGATGTGTTATCAGTCGGGCAGGGCTTTAAGCGCTCACGTCAATCAAAAAAACAAATAAACTGGTATTGGGAAGCCCTCCTTCTGGGAAGGAAACAAGGTTTGAAGACGCTACCGTTATTTGATAAGACGGTTAAGATTGCACAGGCCCTCTGGTAACGAATTGAGATGTCACATTCAGAGATAATTATTGCTCGAATAGACATGTTACTGTCGAACTCTCTGCTATCGACTCTAGCTTTGAGCTTCCGAATCTTAAGATGTGTGAGTGCCATGGGTAATGGCCTCTTGGTGAAGCTGTTAGAGATGGACATTTTTTGATACACAGTCCTCAAGAAGGATGTAGAGGCACTAAGTTATCCTCTGCATCACCAAACAAAAACTGCAATTTCTCACAATTTTTATTGAAAGCTGTTTTAGAGATGGAGGTAGCTGACCTTTGACAATGAATGCAAGTGAATGACAACCCAATTTGCAGCCTTTCAAGAGAAGCATTCATGCTTCATTCCCTCAGGTAAGGATGTTAACGCACGGCAATTTGTAATCTCAAGTTCACTTAGACTCGGCAAAAAACCGTCCTCTAGAAAAGAAACAAGAGTTGGGCTATCCTGAATACATAGTGTTTGAGGGAGCTGCAGCTATGCAACCCTTGTGAAGGCTTCTCAGAGAAGTCTCAGTTGCCACAAATACATGAGTTTCTGCAATCAGTGATACTTAGCGTTCAACTTTCTGGTACCCTTGCTTAACCAATTACCAAACTCTGAAACTTGTCCTGAAGTCATAGGGTTCTGTGGATTGACATCAACTGGATTACTGCTCACAATCTCTTGCTGCCATCTATGTTAAGTTGCTCTGCATGGAAGGCTGGAGCACAAAACCACCAATTGCGGGCATTCACGAATTACAAGTTCTTTCAATGAAGGAAGATTGCCGGTAATTTCCATGAGATTGGGGCATTTAGAATTGAAAGGTTGCTGAGGTGAGGCAAAATCATCATGATCACTTTATCGATAGGCACCCAATGCTTCCATCTGGCAATCTTCAAAACAAAGAGTCTCTAGTGACTGAAAAGGCTTTGAGGAGTTCTCTCCATAAATTCAAAACCGATACTTCTTATTTCTGTCATCCCTTGATGGTGAGATCTTTAAGTGAGCTTAATTTTCCAAGAGAGGTAGAGAAGTACATTTGGACAGTTCTCCAATCTTAAAACAACCATGTTGGATAACGATGAATCTCTAATCCAAGATGGAAATCTCTCCACAGTAGCTTTGATGGTCAACTTTTTTAATTTTTATGTGGTCGAAGCATATTAAGTACATTTCCTCTTCAATTCATTTGTGGATGATCAATTTAGAGCTCATTCTAATGACCATACTTCTAAGCCTTCTTATCACTTAATAAGCCTCTCCGATGTCTCTTAAATTGGCCACACTCTTAATCCTGAAATGCAAAGCTTTCCGTGAAGAAACTTCAAACTTCAAATCTTTCAAACTAGATCCAACATTCTTGCCCACAATAAAATTTGATAAAGTTTGCAGAACATCATTCTCTCCTCCTGGGCATATTTTTTATTTGTGCACCTCCAATATCAAGATGGCGTAGATTGATCAGATGTCTCATTCTCTCTGGAACTTCTTGAGACAAGGACAAACTTTATAACAAACATTGCAGGTTGAACAGAGAACTTGTTGATTCAGGCAAAGTTTTGATCATACTGCCGGAAAGATGAGGTACCTCAAGTGTTTCATATCTCCAATTGAATTAGGAATCCCACGATATAATATCTTCTTAGAGATAACACCCTTAATTTTTTGAGCTTTAACAGCAAACAGAGAGCACCAGAATTGTTATATAATAATGACGCGACGATGACCATCATAACATCATTGTATAACAACTACAGGTAGGAATGTTCTTAGGTGCTCAAGTTCATGCAAAACCTCAAATTTGTTTTACCATCAAATCGAGTAGAAGTATAAGAAGAATGACGCACCTTCAAAGCTTTTCAGTTGCTTATTGTCCCGTTCCATCTTCCAGCCTTAAACTTGTCTCCGGCAACCCATTGAGCCAGATCGCTCACAAGGTCATGCATTTTAAATTTAGAATTATCACTATCTGATTGTTGGAAAAGTGATCTCGCAACTAGATCACGAAAATACTCCCCTCCTATGTCTTCCAATTGTTGTTATCTTTTGATTCGTGAACAAGACCTTCTGCCATCCACCAAAAGACGAGTTTTCCTCTTCAAATTCATAATCTTCGGTAGAACGAGCAGTATGCAAAACATCTCTTTACATGGAAGAAAGGTGGTGGTAGCTTAATTTCAACACCGGGAGATCTCATCATTGTATTTGGTAAATCCCAAATTTTGCTGTTAAATATTTCTCCACTCATCTTCTCTCTTTTCAATTGTAGAAGGCTACAAGAGTCCTTGCTGCAAAGGCAAACCTCCACACTTATCAAACAACTTCTCACGAAACGATTCCAACTTTGACCGCATTAATATCTCTCCCCATAAAGCAAGTTCGCAAACACAGACCAGCAGTCATTGTCTGATAAAAGTTTCAGTAATAATATTCACCAGGGTTGTCTTCGTGCAACATTTTATCACTGTGTAAACAATGATCTTATCCAGATGCTCCGGCCATAAAGGGAGATTTTAAAGTTTCCCAAAACCGATAATCACTGCTCCAAACATCATCCAATACAAGCAAGAACCTTTTATCTGCTATTTCCCTTTTTAGAAGGAGCTGCACTTGATTCAAAACCTTCAAATTGCAGGGTGAGAGGGGATAGACTCGATAATCGCTTTTGAGATTCTCAAATATCAGAGTCATTGGAGACACAAACCCATGCTTTTGCGTCGAACTTAAAATCTTCCATTGCTTGTCATTGTACACAAGTCGAGCAAGAGTTGTTTTGCCGGCTCCTCCATGCCAACAATGGGTATTACAAAATATGTCACTGATTCACAAGTAGACATCATTTGGATTATTTTGCTTTATCTTATCTCTACCATAAACAGCAGGTTCAGTTGGCAAACATGTGGTGGGTGGAAGTCTTTGCATTCAGAAGTTGATGACCCCAGCAATCTTCTCCAACCAAGATCAATTCTTTGCTTACATAGATCGCCATCCGGCGAGTGATTGCTTTCATCTTGGCCCCATGCTAACATTGAACTTAATAGCACTTGGGCTCCAAGTATGGAAGCGAGCAGGGATGAAGCTCCGAACCTTACTAGTGCTAGCCTCATCTCCGCCACCACTTGCGCCCTAAAGCGTCAGTTGCAAATTCATCCATATATCCTCACATCATAGGCCAAATTGGAGATTATCCAGCACATCTTCACAGCCCTGCGTCAGTTGCTTCTCCTCTGCATCGTTGAGCAATGCTTCAATCATCTTCAACGTTTCTTCCCACTTTTCAGCTTGAATGACCCCCTCCCGACGTGCAAAATTCAGCAACTCCCTGGACGCAGTCTGTCGAACAGCACCTGAAGGAACGCAGACAGAAAGAGCTCTCCCACAGGCATGGTTTCGTCTTTGAAGAAGAACAATAACTAAAGATTATCACACAGAGATTACTACAGAACAAGCAAGAGATCGAGATTTTTTCTCTGATTCTATGGAAGGCCGTGTGAGTAGTTCAAAAGATAATGAGAAAAAAGGTACAAAACGATGATAATTCTAGCATGTGTGGACTCCTCCACTCCACAATTGTCAATACTGGAGTAGATATATTGTCCTGGACCCCTAGTTTTACTGTTCTTTGTCTACAAGTCTAGCCAGCCATTACTGACCAGTTTTGCTTTTCTTGGTCAACAAATTTAGCCTGGCATTTCTTTATTATTATTATTATTATTATTATTTTTCATATTTTTAATTTCTTCCAGGATTTGCTGAAATGAAGCCTTAAATTGTATTGGGTTTCCCCATTAGTCCATAGCACTGTTCGGCTATGGACTAATGGTCATGTGGAGGGTTGCCCAATATTGAGAGAGAGCCCAATTTTAGTTAGGGCTTTGTATCAGAACAGAAGAAGAAAAGAAAAGTGAAAAAAGGGGTGACGTGAAAAGAAAAGAAAAATGAGTGTAATGAATAATGATCAGATCAGACCTCGTCAAGCCTCCAATGAACAGCCTCCGTCGTGTGGTCCGATTGAGCTGAAATTTTTTTGGTACATTCCTCGATCAAGCCTCTTTGTTTTGAATGGTGGAGAACAGTAGAGATTGAATTTTTTTGGTACATTCCTCGATCAAGCCTCTTTGGTGAAATTTCTAATTTTATAAGATTTTCATCAATGCCATAGCATTTTCTAGTGATAGTATTTTTTTAATGAGATTCTCCGGAATATGAAATTGATATTTGATATAAATCTTATAAAAGAGTAAACAATTTTTTCCACCTAAATAATGGTTTAACGACACTTATCCACCCACAGACTTTTAAAATATTATTTTACTATCTAAATTTATATTCTGTTTCTTATTAGAACATTGTTGTGACCCCACACTACCACTATTCTCTTCCTCGATCATAACTCACCAAAACCCCTCAAACCATACTTCTGTTACCCCGGTCAATCGCCAGAAATCAAGCGATTAAGCTTTATGCAGCTATCCCTCCCAAGTCAAATTCCAATCAATTTCAACTACCAAAACACTTATCGGTCTTTCCTCTTCAAAAGCCCTAACAGTCTACACCGAGTTTGCTTAAAAGTTGGCTGCCATAATATAAATTTGGATAGTAAAGTGGTATTTTAAAAATCTCTGAGTGAGTAAATATCATTCAACCATTATTTGGGTGAGAAAAAGTCGTTAACTCCTTATAAAATTAGATTTTTTTATGAAAAAAAAAAAGAGAAGGTTGTCATTAATGCATGGGTCATGAACAAATTTATTTTTATTCACCTACAAAATATGAATGTATCTTGAGTTCACTAATGTATGATCAACTTCAGCTTTATTCCAATTTGAGTTTCAATCTTTTTGATGTAACTCCAAAACTAAGTCAGCTGCAAGAAAGCCATTTGCACACTGTTGAACAAGTTTTAAAGTAGGTAAATCATCGGAAAAGGTCATGTTCCGAAGGCGGAGAACCATTCTGGCAAAACTTGATCTCTCTGTAAAAATCTTGCATTCTGAAGCACACATTTTATGAATCGATCCTTCATGACATCCAAATCAAAATATGAGATACTTACAGCAAATTCCATTACTTTCCGAAAAGGAGGATACAGATTTTGTAAAATTTTAATTTTAAATAACTACCCGAGGAATCTCAAGAGATTCTAGATTAGGAGATTGTTGAATAATAGTCTTTTAACACTTGATGATTTGTATAATCAAGCTCCCCCCAAATCAGTTTCAAATTAGTCAAGCAATGAAATACTGGAAGACGAAATTGGAAATTTTCTTCATAAGAGAGATACTACTTGGCAAACACAAAAACAAAAGAAATTAATGAGATGAGCTGTTCATGTTATGTCTTCTCAATGAACATATAAATAATTAGCTAAGAATGTTATCATACCTCAAGTATATCATTTGACAGAGTAAGAAATTTGACATGATGAATTCCACGCATCAGTTTTATTGCATGTCGAGCCATAATTTCGTTAGCCTGCTGTTTCGAAATTTGTTCATCGATGTATGCATAATTTAGTGAAGACAAATTACATGGTAAAAGTTCTATTGCTGCACAATTTATGCATTTGAGAGAGCTCAAATTTTCTGCATAAATTTCTATAATATAATCCTCTAATGGCTTTAAAGAGGAAAGTTCGCGACAAACAATCAATGTCCTTAGAGTGGGGAATAGTTATGGTGATTTTCTTATACATGGAGCACTATGAAGGAAGAGAATTGTTTCCAGAGAATGGAAAAAGCTTGTCTTCAAATCCGACCTCAACTGATATTTAGTCTCATTGAAAACAATGTCAAAAATGGAGGTCGGAAGAGATTTCCATCTTTTTGACAGTGCAGAAGTTCTGGGTTTTTTCTGAATTCACCATCCTTCCCTGAAAAGAAGAAAAAGAAAAGTATTCAAACTCCATAGATAAACATTGAAAAACCAAAACTTATCTAGCAATCAAACTCATCAAGCTAGTTTCTTTCCTTTATTATAATCCAGAAATTCCTGGAAGTGGCTTTTTAAACTTGAGTTTTAAATTGGTGAATCTACCACGTATTTGGAAATAGGAAGAAACAATGGTATTTGGGTGATTTTATCCATCAATGCCATCGTTCAAGCACGGAGCTGAAGACTGATTCAATGTTCTAAACCTTATGAGAACAAACCACAGGCGAAACCCTAATCCTCTAGGATGTTTCAGCAAATGTCTTTCACTGTTATACACTAAATATAATTGTGTTAAAGAAAAAAAGAAATTGAAGAAGAAATCTCACCTTAATCACGAAGAAACAACTCGGATTTGTCCTGCCCTTCTAGGATGAAAAAGAGACCACAATCCTGACTACTTCAAAGTTCTACCCAGATGAGATTTTGTAGAGTCGAATCGAAGATAAAGGCTTCTAAAGAAAAACTTTATAAATTTTATTGATTATATTGAAACATAACAACGTTCCCCACCAACCAAGCAAGGAGAAGGTCGTTAAATGAAGAGTAGAATTTCTTCTGAGCTACAAAATAAGTAAGAAAGGAAAAATTTTAAATGAAAATATCCTAAGTCGCCATTGAGGGATACCACTCCCCACCAGAAGTTATCGGTTTAGATAGCCATTCACACTCGGAAGATCTCAACCCCGTGATGAACTTCGGATTATGTTGATCGCTATGGCGAGGAGTCAGATTGTAAGAACTCCATTGAGATTCTCTTCACCAGCCTTCTTTTTACCCTTGACTAGAGTGTAGGTCCAAAGTATATCTTGCAAAATCACCCTTTCCTGTTCGCCTCGTATTCTCATCACGGGCACCTTTTCGTGTTCAAAATCACCCTTCAAGTGGCAAGAATGTACGACAATGAAGAAAAGGAAGTCAGCTGGCAAGCCTCTGAGTATGCGATAAATGCAGCAATTAATGTGTTAAAGGTGATCTATACTTGTAATCAGACTTTGATTTCGGTCGTTTCTGCTTGATTGATTGGGTTACAACAGCCCATTAACAGTTTTCTTGTAATTTTCTCAAATGTTCTCTTTGTTTCTATGACTCCTCGAAACAGAATGGAGCAGAGGTCATGGCTTCTTCTTGAATCTCTTCTTCTCTTCGTTTATTCACAACCAAGTCAATTCTCACACCAAAACCCCGCAAAAACCTCTCTTTCTTTAACAGACAAATCACTTTCCCCACTCGTCTACCACTCTTTGCCCTCCCCTCTCTTCTTTGCTCGTTCAAGGCTTGTTTCATCGGCCTGTGGGGGAGACTGTTAAGTTTTCTAGCTTACCGCCATTCTAGAAATAATGGGTTCTTTGAATGTATTGAAGCTGATGCAAAGGAATCTAACTTTGATGGTTGATAGTAGTAAAAATGGAAAAAATGAAGAAGGCCGATAGAATCGGAAGTAGAAGATATTTCATCAGCATGCTGGCATGCTGGGTAATCCATACTTATAATCAGACTAGAAAGAAGTTATATTTTGTAGGTTCATTATAACCATCCCTGATTTTGTATGATCTCTTATCCTCTCATCACATAATCTCATTATTTATAGGTTATTGTCACATAAAACGGAATCATCGAAAACTATAATCAAGGAAAGCTCTTTGAAAAGTAGTACGATTGAATTTCTATCAAATTTTGTACAAGTCTACAACATTAAAGCATGTTCAAGAAGATGTTATCTTCATTATTTTGATGTTATCTTGTCAATGTATCATCCATTTAAAGTTGGCATACACTAATCCTCTTGCGAAGGCAGAAGTATGTGCAAATTCTATATCCCAGGGCCATGGCTAATAACACCCAAACTTCTTGCAAACCACCCTTCAGGTTCACCGTGTTGAACGAAGGCGAGCTCTGCAAAGTCCGGCATCCTCCTTTGCTTTCGCATTCGTACAATTGATCTCCTGAATATTGCACTTTTAGAAGAAGTCTGAACCCATAGTACATGAAGGACGAGTACTTCAACCACTGCATAAATTTTGGTATGTGCTGCAATCAAAACATGTATAATTTCAGTCTTGAAATGGATTTATCATTCAAATTGGCAACACTTCATGTCCTCACTGGTCCCGGAATCAGTCTTAAGAATTCGTCTATGCCTCTATGGAATTCTTTTGAGTTTCGTATAACCAAGAATCGTTTAGTTAAAATGCATCTATTTAATTACAAGAACTCGAGACTTGTACCTGGACATAGTAGCCTCCTGTGAGAAGAAACAGCATTAGTATCAAAGAAGCAATCATTCCAGCTCTCTTAATACTCAAAACTGCAGCTCCAAATAGCTCTCCTGCCCCCTAATGAAAGCAAGAAAAATCATTCAATCTCAAACCTCATCGAAAAAGATTCGGATTCAGTTGACTTACTTGGCTAGTGACAGCTATCAGAAGTATAGCAAGCAGTGTCAGGAAGAAGCAGGGAACTGTTCTTTTGAAGCCAGCCATGAAGTATACAATAACCATGAACAATGTAGGATAGAAAACATGTGCCACCATGTCACACAGAGTGCTGCAGGCATAATATACACTTAATCTGTACATATCTGCTTTTCTTTCTTTCACCAAATAAACCTTTTCAAATGGAAACACATAGACTGCTCCAAATATCGATGAAGATGTCCAGAAAATGCATATGTAGAATAATAGACCAACCTGCAATTGAATCAAAGTGTCAGGATTTAGTTTAAGTTTCTGTTAGTATTTTGAAATGTTGCTGGTTATGGAGAATTACTTGGTCTCTGAGCTGAGCCTCGGTTGCAGTGCTGGATTTCCACCAAAGAAGGCCCAACAAGACAGCAATTCCTAGAGCTTGAACCAGTCTTAGCTTGTCAAAGTAATCTCTACACCTTTCTCTGAATGTTCTCTTGTAAATTATCATGAACTGTTCCCACCAGGACAGTGTCCAGTCTTTCTTAACTTGGACCGCCACTTGAAGATGCTCCGGTGCTTTCGTGTTTCGATGTTTCTCTTCCTTCTCTTTTGGCTCTATTTGAGTTTTGTATTTGAGTTGCAGATACTAAAACCATATGAAAAGAAATTACGAGAGGAGAAAAACAGTAATAGAAATTAAACTGCTAGGTAGATAAAAATAAAAGCAATGATTGTTACTTTGATTACAGCCCTCTCAGCATCAGAAGCTCCTTGAGATGCCATTAACCCTTCAGGGACACTAATGTCATTCACCTGTCCTGTTGCTAAATCTAGCAAGAACTCTGCAGGATTCATTGCTATTTCTGGGATGAAGCTCAAAGATGAAAAATAGTCCATAGACTCTCTAGCCTTCCCATAGTACACAGGATAGCCTTCTGATATTAGCAGAAGTTTATCGAACATGTGAAACATTCTGCTTGATGGCTGGTGGATTGTTATGATTACTGTCCTCCCTGCCTATCAACCATTAAACAATATCTTTAAAAATTAAGAAATGTTGCCTAAAAGTTAGCTACTCTTTCGGACTGAATTGAGAATATACAGACATCAACACCTGAGAATTCGTATATTATACGAAATGACACCGAGTACCAATTTAGCTTGGATACCTGACCAATTTTTTCAAGAATTTGAAGTAGTTTGTTAGCAGAGGTGGAATCAAGCCCTGACGTTGGTTCATCAAGCAACAATAAGGAAGGATCAACAAGAATTTCATAGCCAATACTGGTTCTTTTTCTTTCTCCTCCAGATACTCCCTTAACGAAACCTCGTCTGACTCATCTGACGACATCTACGGTTGATTGTTTAGCGAAAATTATTAGTTAAAACCACATACAAGTTCACATTCACAGGCATTTTAATTGTATTTTTCCACAGTCCATACCTTTCCAGGTCCAGTTCCTTCACAATCATCTCAACTCTAGCATATTTTTGTTGCCTGGTCATGGTCCGTGGAAGTCTCAAAAATGCTGCAAACACTACAGTTTCTTCCACAGTTAACTGTGGGAATAAATATCATATTGTGTTACAAATCCAATTCTGCAAAAAAGAAAATTTTGCAAAATCCAATCATTTTGAGGGAGATGCAGCTATGCAAACCTTGCGATCCTTCGGAAGGTTTTTCTAGAAAGACTAATCTCATTATGCCACAAATGTATGAATTTCTCATGATCAATGATACTTTCTGATACCTTTGCTTCAATCAATCACCAAACTGAAATTTCCAGAGAAGTCATAGTGAATTGGAGTTAACTGGATCTTCGCTCACCATTGAATCTTTCGGTCCAGTGGAATCTCGTGTTGTATTCCATTTACAGTTGGAGTAAGATTTCCTGAAATGAAAACAGGGGATCAAAAGAGTTTCCTATTGGCCACTTCTCACATACCATACAAAATGAAGTGAAATGGAATACTAGAGAAGCGCTATTAGTTTATTTCTTTTGGCAAATCTCGACAGTACAAGGAAAATTAGAAATAAGTGAAATTTTACATTTTAGAAACAAGCAACATGGTTGTTTAATTTTAAATCAATTCGTCTAATTTCCTTGTGTAATATGTAAAATACATTTGATTTGCTCATGTTAGTGTATTAATGGTTGCTTAATTTTCTGTCTTGGGATTTTTCTCATTCAATAGAAGTTTAATGGTGGCTACTTAATTGTTTTATGTTATGAGTTTTGCCTATATCATTTCTTTTGTTGGTTTTAAAGATATTTTGTTTCTAAATCGGATTGTACATTGTTAATATCAATAATATTATAAAATGGCTTTTATGTTTACTCTTTCAATAAAAAGTCAATGAATTGTAAAGCTTTGTGGCAAGCTTCGCCAACCAAAAACAGAGTCTCCTGTTTTCCTCTGTTCTCTGAAATTTCAGTTCAAGAGGCGTTATTTTTCTTAAGCAGTAAATGCCAATTTCTGACGGTAATGTTATGAGACTTTTGAACCACAAAATTATGAAGAAACTTTGTCATATCTCCCGTGATCATGAGCTGTTACTCGCTCAATGGTTATGAAGAAACTTCTAATCTAAATTTTGTCTTAGAGAATAAATGAATTAGCTAAGATAATTCCCAAATCTATGCTCTGATCATCTGGAAATTTAATTTACTACTGCAAAAATTTAGAGGCATCTACCTCACACATTGCTTTCATAAAGTTGATTTGCCACATCCCGCTTGACCTATAACGCCTGGAAAAACACCAAATCATGACAACTGAAATCAGAAAATTATAAACAATTGTGGTAAAGAAAGTTAAGATTGATCCTTACCAATATTAATGGTAGCCCGACGAGAAATAATTTCAGGATTGAGTAGATCCCACTTTTCTTCATCAATGTCTTCTTGCTCGTAACTTGATATGTTCATACCACCAACTGGTGAATTTGTGACACATTGGAAATTTGAAATTTGACTCTGATGTAAAAATCGGAGATCAGTTAATAATACTTCCCGGTGAAGGTAGATGACTAATTACCAACGATCAAACTTAGGAATGAAAATTGCAATATGGAAAAGTAAAATTGACTGACCTTATACACTTGTTTCTGAGATTAAATAGAGCTCATTCATCCTCCTCTGGTTCATAGATGAATCGGGAATCTACTTCGACAAAAGGCATGTTTGCTATCTTAGACCATTCTCGTCCTTTATCTCTCTTGCATTGTTTTTTCAGCAAAGGACAATCTCGAATTTGTAATTGCACAAGTGAAGTTGGCAGGCCATCCTCTGGAAAAGATGTAAGCTTTGGGCAATTATAAATTCTCAACAATCCAAGAGAGGTTAGGTCACGAAAACCTCTGGAAGATAAGTATTTCAATTTAGGAAATTCTGAAATGTGCAGATCAATTAGAGAGGTGGGCAACGTCATTCCTATCTCATCCTCGGGAAAAGACACTGCATCTGGACATCCATGTATCCACAGGGTTGTAAGGCAGGTGAACTTGTGCAAACCCCACCCCTTCAAAGGCTTATAGATTTCGTGATTACCACCAATTCCCAGAATTCTTAGGCTGGTAGGGAAACCTTCTTCTGGAAACGATTTGATACTTGGACAACCCGATATTGATAATGCTTGGAGACAGCTGAGATTGTGTATACCGTCGGGCAGGGCTTTAAGCGTCTCACAGTCAATCAAAAAAACAAATAAATTGGTATTGGGAAGCCCTCCTTCTGGGAAGGAAACAAGGTTTGAAGACGTTACCGTTATTTGATAAAGACGGTTAAGATTGCACAGGCCCTCTGGTAACGAATTGAGATGTTCACATACAGAGATAAATATTGTCCGAATAGACATGTTACTGTCGAACCTCTCTGCTATCGACTCTAGCTTTGAGCAATTCCGAATTTTAAGCTGTGTGAGTGCCATGGGTAATTGGCCTCTTGGTGATATGCATGTTAGAGATGGACATTGTTTGATACACAAGTCCTCAAGAAGAGATGTAGAGGCACTATATTTTTCTTCTGTATCACCAAACAAAAACTGCAATTTCTCACAATCTTTTATTGATAGCTGTTTTAGAGATGGAGGTAGCTGACCTTTGACAATGAATGCAAGTGAATGACAACCTTCAATTTGCAGCCTTTCAAGAGAAGTATTTTCATGCTTCATTCCCTCAGGTAAGGATGTTAACGCATGGCAATTTATAATCTCAAGTTCACTTAGACTCAGCAAAAAACTGTCCTCTAGAAAAGAAACAAGAGTTGGGCTATCTTGAATACATAGTGTTTTGAGGGAGCTGCAGCTATGCAACCCTTGTGAAGGCTTCTCAAGAGATGTCTCACTTTGCCACAAATATATGAGTTTCTCGCAATCAATAATACTTAGCCGTTCAACTTTCTGGTACCCTTGCTTTAACCAATTACCAAACTCTGAAACTTGTCCTAAAGTCATAGGGTTCTGTGGATTGACATCAACTGGATTACTGCTCACAATCTCTTTGCTGCCATCTATGTCTAAGTTGCTCTGCACTGGAAGGCTGGAGCACAAAACCACCAATTGCGGGCATTCACGAATTACAAGTTCTTTCAATGAAGGAAGATTGCTAGGTAATTTTCCAATGAGATTGGGGCATTTCAGAATTGAAAGGTTGCTGAGGTGAGGCAAAATTCCATCATGATCACTTTCATCGATAGGCTCCCAATGCTTCCATTCTGGCAAATCTTCAAAACAAAGAGTCTCTAGTGACTGAAAAGGCTTTGAGGAGTTCTCTCCATAAGTTTCAGAACCGATACTTCTTATTTCTGTCATCCCTTTGATGGTGAGATCTTTGAGTGATCTTAATTTTCCAAGTGAAGGTAGAGAAGTACATTTTGCACAATTCTCCAATCTTAAAACAACTATGTTGGATAAAGATGAATCTCTAATCCAAGATGGAAATCTCTTCCCACATTAGCCTTTGATTGTCAACTTTTTTATATTTTTATTTGGTCGAAGCATATTAAGTACATTTTCCTCTTCAATCTCATTTCGTGAGTTATCAATTTGAGAGCTCCATTCTAATGACAATACTTCTAAGCCTTTTTTATCACTTAATAAGGCCTCTCCGATGTCTCTTAAATTGGCCACATTCTCTAATCCTGAAATGCAAAGCTTTCCGTGAAGAAACTTTAAATCTTTCAAATCTTTCAAACTAGATCCAACATTCTTGCCCACAATAAAATTTGATAAAGTTTGCAGACATCTCAATTCTCTCATTCCCTGTGGCATATTTTTTATTTGATTTGCACCTCCAATATCAAGATGGCGTAGATTGATCAGATGTCTCATTTTCTCTGGCAACTTCTTGAGACGAGGACAATCTTTTAATAACAAACATTGCAGGTTGAACAGAGAACTTGTTGATTCAGGCAAAGTTTTGATCATACTGCCGGAAAGATTGAGGTACCTCAAGTGTTTCATATCTCCAATTGAATTAGGAATCTCCACGATATAATATCTTCTTAGAGATAACACCCTTAATTTTTTGAGCTTTAACAGCAAATCAGAGAGCACCAGATTTGTTATATAATAATGACGGCGACGATGACCATCATAATCATCATTGTATAACACTACAGGTAGGAATGTTCTTAGGTGCTCAAGTTCATGCAAAACCTCAAATTTGTTTTTACCATCAAATCGAGTAGAAGTATAAGAAGAATGACGTACCCTTTCAAAGCTTTTCAGTTGCTTATTTGTCCTCGTTCCATCTTCCAGCCTTAAACTTGTTTCTCCGGCAACCCATTGAGCCAGATCGCTCACAAGGTCATGCATTTTAAATTTAGAATTATCACTATCTGATTGTTGGAAAAGTGATCTCGCAACTAGATCACGAAAATACTCCCCTCCTATGTCTTCCAATTGTTTGTTATCTTTTGATTCGTGAACAAGACCTTCTGCCATCCACCAAAAGACGAGTTCTTCCTCTTCAAATTCATAATCTTCTGGTAGAACAGAGCAGTATGCAAAACATCTCTTTACATGTGAAGAAAGGTGGTGGTAGCTTAATTTCAACACCGGGATGATCTCATCATTGTTATTTGGTAAATCCCAAATTTTGCTGTTCAATATATTCTCCCACTCATCTTCTCTCTTTTTCAATTGTAGAAGGCTACCAAGAGTCCTTGCTGCCAAAGGCAAACCTCCACACTTATCAACAACTTTCTCACGAAACGATTCCAACTTTTGACATGCATTAATATCTCTCCCCATAAATGCAAGTTTCGCAAACACAGACCAGCAGTCATTGTCTGATAAAAGTTTCAAGTAATAATATTCACCAGGTGTTGTTCTTCGTGCAACATTTTCATCACGTGTAGTAACAATGATCTTACTTCCAGATGCTCCGGCCATAAAGGGAGATTTTAAAGTTTCCCAAAACCGATAATCACTGCTCCAAACATCATCCAATACAAGCAAGAACCTTTTATCTGCTATTTCCCTTTTTAGAAGGAGCTGCACTTGATTCAAATCCTTCAAATTGCAGGGTGAGAGAGTGATAGACTCGATAATCGCTTTTGAGATTCTCAAAATATCAGAGTCATTGGAGACACAAACCCATGCTTTTGCGTCGAACTTAAAATCTTCCATTGCCTTGTCATTGTACACAAGTCGAGCAAGAGTTGTTTTGCCGGCTCCTCCCATGCCAACAATGGGTATTACAACAAAATTATTGTCACCTGATTCACATGTGGACATCATATTGATTATTTTGGCTTTATCCCCATCTCTACCATAAACAGCAGGTTCAATTGGCAGACATGTGGTGGGTGGAAGTCTTTGCCGTTCAGAAGTTGATGACCCTCCAGCAATCTTCTCCAATCCAAGATCAATTCTTTGCTTACATAGATCGTCCATCCGGCGAGTGATTTCTTTCATCTTGGACCCCATGCTAACATTGAATTTTATAGCACTTTGGCTCCAAGTATGGAAGCTAGCAGGGATGAAGCTCCGAACCTTACTAGTGCTAGCCTTATCTTCCGCCACCATCTTGTTCCCTAAAGCTTCAGTTGCAAATTCATCCAATATATCCTCCACATCATAGGCCAAATCTCGGAGATTATCCAGCCACATCTTCACAGCCCTGCTTGTCAGTTGCTTCTCCTCTGCATCGTTGAGCACTGCTTCAATCATCTTCAACGTTTCTTCCCACTTTTTCAGCTTTGAATTGACCCCCTCCCGACGTGCAAAATTCAGCAACTCCCTGGACGCCAGTCTGTCGAACAGCACCTGAAGGAACGCAGACAGAAAGAGCTCTCCCACAGGCATGATTTCGTCTTTGAAGAAGAGCAATAACTAAAGATTATCACACAGAGATTACTATAGAACAAGCAAGAGATCGAGATTTTTTCTCTGATTCCATGGAAGGCCGTGTGAGTGGTTCGAAAGGGAACAATAAAAAAAGGTACAAAACATGATAATTCTAGAGTATGTATGGACCCCACCACTCCACAATAATAAAGTTGATACCGGCCATTACTGACTAGTTTTGCTCTCATTTCTTTATTATTATTTTTAATTGCTTCAAGGATTTGCTGAAATGAAGCCTTAAATTGTATTGGGTTTCGCCGTTAGTACATAGATCTGTTGGGCTTGGGTTTCCCTCATGTGGAGGGTGGCCCAATAATTGAGAGAGAGCCCAATTTTAATTAGAAAGCCCCCTTGTTTTGGATGGTGGAAAACGGTAGAGATTGAATTTGGAGTCGATTTGCTACAGTAAGTTTTGCGTGAACAGTAACTCTCTTTGGTGAAATTTCTCCATTATCTTGAGAATAATTGTTAGTGTACAAGAAAATTTGTTCTTGAGATTGATGTTGATCATTTACCTCTAGTTTTATCTAGAGAGAACCACCATTTTATAAGAATAATGTTAGGTCTATAACTCAATCTCATAACTCTCAACGTAATAATTCACAACTGGTTAATTCGCAAATAGGTCTCAGGTCTCGTCTGATAAAATAGAGGCTACAATTGTGGATGAAGACTCGGAAGCGACATCAATACTACAGCTCAACAATACTCTGGCATGATAGCAAAATATGGAAACAAATCAGTAGTTAAAGGCTTGTGTGATAACAACCATGATCTTGTGAAATCTGGTGAAATCTTGTAATTAACGTTAGCATGATTATAGCATTGTTTATAGCAGTTTACAATGTAACCATTATTTTGTAAAGATTATAAATACAGAGTATCACAGCCTGTTATAGGCATGACGAATTTCCCAACTTCTCTGCTTTAATTTTTCTTCTTGGTATCAGAGCATAACAATGTCTTCCGCTTCGTTGAATGTTAGTACCTTTGTCACTCTCAGGCTTTGACCTGAAAACTACGCATTATGGCGTGAGCAAGTGCTTGCACTTGTTGAAAGTCAAGAGCTTACAGATTTTCTCACAGGAGAAAAACCATGCCCAACTACTGTACTTCCAACACTTGATGGTAACAACCCAACTGCTAATCCAGCATACAAAAACTGGAAAACAGTAGATCGTCTACTCAGAGGGTGGATTATTGGCACTCTTGTAGAAGAGGCACTCAGCCATGTTATTGGTCTTGATACCTCTGCACAAGTTTGGGCAACACTCAAGGAAGCGTATGCCCAGCCTTCTCAAGAAAGACAATTTCAATTGAATTAGCAACTCACGTATATGAAGAAAACCCAGGAAGTGCCTCTCAACGAATATATTCAAAAGTTCAAAGAGGTATGTGACAGCCTTGCTGCCATTGTGCACATGGTTGTTGACAAAAACAAAGTTTTTTCATTGCTTACAGGACTTGGTGCACGCTATGAACCCTTCACTACATCAATGCTTAAACCACCAATGCCATCTTATAATGAGGTACTTCCTCTATTGCAAAGCTATGAAACAAGGCTGAATCTTCATTCTCTTAAATCCTCTCAATATACTGCCTTTTATGCTGACAAAAATGTCCCCAAATATGCACCCAAAAATCCCAAACCCACTAACAATTTTTCCTCCAAAGGAAGAGGCTTCATCCCTGCTAATCAGCCCAACAAAAACTTCAACAATGGCTCTTCTTCAAACGCATCTCGTGGAAAGAATCACAGGGACATCACCTGTCAGATTTGTGGCAAGAAAGGACACCCTGCTATCCGTTGCTGGTATAGGTTCAATCATTCTATTCAACCAGACAACTTGCCTCAAGCATTCACAGCCTTGCAACTTAATTATGAGGCACACCATGAGGAATGGACATCAGATACTAGCGCATCAGCACATATGGTAACTTATATAATCTCAGACCTTATACTGGTAATGATCATGTTATGTTAGGAAATGGGGAATTTCTAAAAGTAACTCATACTAGTGACGCACTACTCGGGTTTAGACAATCTGCTATTGTTCTAAGGAATGTTCTTCTTGTACCTGAGTTAGAAAGGAGTTTATTATCTATTGGACAACTCACATCTGATTATTCAGTAACTTGTGAATTTTTTAATAATGATTTTGTGATTAAGGACAAGTTGACACAACAGGTGCTGACGAGGGGGCTCAAAAGGGGTAATTTGTATGCAATCCGAGGACCTCCAGTGGCTTTGTTCTCCTCCAGATTTCAGGTTGCTTCAAAAGACATCTGGCACCAATGTCTCAGGCATATTCAAGCTGCTACAGTGGCTCATCTTCGAAACAAAGCATTAATAAGGACTATTTCCAATAAAGACAATTCTATATGTGAGAGTTGTCAATTAGGAAAATTATCTAAGTTGTCTTTTTCTTTATCTGAATCAAAAACTTTTGCACCTTTTCAGAAAGTTCATATTGATTTATGGGGACCTGCTCCTCTTACCTCTTTGCATCAATTTCGGTTTTATGCTGCTATAGTTGATGATTTCACAAAGTTTGCATGGTTAATTCCATTAAAGCAACAATCAGACTTCTGTGATTAATTCATTCTCTTTGAAAAGTTTGTAAAGAGACAATTTGTTGGCCTTATTAAGATAATTCAGACAGATGGGGGAGGAGAATTTGTTAATCATAGATTCAAAACACATCTTCAAAATTTAGGAATCAAACATCAACTATCATGTCCTTATACACCTGAGCAGAATGGTATGGTTGAAAGAAGGCATCGGGTAATTAAAGAACTCGGCATTACTATTTTAATTCATGCCAATGTTCCTAAAATTTTCTGGGTTGAAGCTTTTACCACTGCAATGTTTCTAATCAATCGTGTTCTAATAGCCACACTACAATGGGACTCACCCTTCTATCGGTTGTATGGCAAGAATCCTAATTATTCCTCCTTAAGAGTTTTTGGCTCAAGGTGTTTCCCGTACATATGGGACTCTAAGAAGGATAAATTTGATAACAAATCACTACCATGCGTGTTTAAGGGTTATAGTGATAGACACAAAGGCTACAATTGTTATTCTCCATCAACCAAAAGGTTTTATGTTTCCAGACATGTGGTCTTTAATGAATCATCTTTACCTTACAAAAATTTCAATGTTCCCTTTGACACAACTGCTGGAATACAACCAATAACCTTTCGAGAATTTGACTCACAGTCCATTTCCTCTTGTGAGCACTCATATCATTTCACTCAACCTGCAGAAGAAGCACCATTACCAACACCAAATGCTTAACTCAAAACAACAATCACTATAGGTGATCTCTTGTGTCGGGTTCACATTCAATCACTGCTGATAATCTCTCTTAGTCCACTGCCACTGAACACTTTGGGGAACCCAATTCTGTTATTGACAATACTACTTCTGTCTCCACAATTGCTCCAACTTCTCAAAACTCGGGAAGCAATCCTCATTCCATGATTACACGCAATCAAGTGGGAGTTCGAAAACCAAACCCCAAGTATGCACTTCTCCATGACTTTGATTCAATACCAAAGGAACCAAGGTCTCTTAAATCTGCTCTCTAACACTCTGGATGGAAACAAGCAATGGTTGATGAACTTGATGCTTTACAACAACAAAAAACGTGGAACTTGGTGCCTAGTACAACATCAATGAATGTTGTTGGATCTCGATGGGTTTACAAAGTAAAACTCAAAGATGATGGCAACATGGAAAGTCTCAAAGCAAGATTAGTTGCTAAAGGGTATAATCAATTACCCGGGATTGATTTTACTGAAACTTATTCACCTGTTGTGAAGCTAGGAACTATTCGGTTGATCTTATCCATTGCAACTCTAAAAAGTGGGATCTCAGACAACTTGATGTAAAAAATGCATTCTTGCATGGGTTTCTAACCGAGGATGTATTCATGGAGCAACCCCTAGGTTTTAAAGACTCAAATTTTCTAGATTTAGTTTGTCATTTGAACAAAGCAATCTATGGACTTAAACAAGCTCCAAGAGCTTGGTTTGACAGATTCAGCTCCTACCTTCTGCAATACGGTTTTCAATGCAGCACCGCTGATCCAAGTCTATTTATTTTCCATTCCGATCAAGGCACTTTGGTTCTCTTACTTTACGATGATGATATTATATTAACAGGTTCCTCCTCGAGTTTAATACAAGATTTCATTAACAAATTACATGCAAAATTTGCAATGAAAGATCTCGGAGTCCTCCATTATTTTTTGGGAATTCAAGTTTCAACCGTTTCAACTGGGTTGTTTTTACAACAAACCAAGTATGTTGTCAACATCCTGAAATGCAGTGGGATGCATGAATCAAAACCTATCAAGACCCCACTGTGTACCAAAACCAAACCTGACCCTGATTCCCCTCTGTATCCCGACCCTCATGCATATCGATCTCTGGTAGGAGCCCTTCCATACTTAACCTTGACACGACCATACCTCTCTTTTAGTGTGAATTATGTCTCCCAATTTATGCATGCGCCTATTGAGTCACATTTTGGTTTGGTAAGACGAATCCTACGCTACGTCAAAGGCACAATTAATCTTGGTCTTCATATACAAGCTTACAGTTCTCTTGATCTTTATGGATTCTCGGACTTTGATTGGGCTGGGTGCAACATCACTAGGAGATCAACAACTGGTTATTGTACCTACCTAGGAAGCAATATCATTTCATGGTGCTCAAAGAAGCAACCAACAGTCTCAAGGTCAAGTTACGAAGCTGAATATAGAGCACTTGCTCAAGCAGCTGCTGAAATTATGTGGCTCACTTTCATCCTTCGTAATCTGGATGTTCCCCTATCTCAAGCTCCAATTCTGTTCTGTGATAATATGAGTTCACTGTTCATGACAATTAATCCAGTATTCTATGCAAGAAGCAAGCATATTGAAGTGGATTACCACTATATCATGGAACGTGTGTCACTCGGGTTACTTGTTACCAAACATATCCAAACACAGTCTTAGATTGCCGATGTCTTCAAAAAACCTCAACTAAAATCAGCTTTAGAATTGCTACGTGACAAATTGTGCATTTCAACAATGCTCAATTTGAGGGGTGATGATAAAACAGAGGCTACAATTGTGGATGAAGACTCGAAAGCGACATCAATACTACAGCTCAGCAATACTATGGCATGATAGCAAAATATGGAAACAAATCAGTAGTTAAAGGCTTGCGTGATAACAGCCATGATTTGGTGAAATCTGGTGAAATCTTGTAATTAATGTTAGCATGATTATAGCATTGTTTATAGCAGTTTACAATGTAACCATTATTTTGTAAAGATTATAAATAGAGAGTATCATAGCCTGTTATAGGCGTGGCGAATTTCCCAACTTCTCTGATTTAATTTTTCTTCTCCGTCTGCTCATTTGCTAATTGATCAATTACGAGCTGTCATGTCAAGGGTTACGAGAGAATGTTGTGGACCTAGCATTATTCATTGTACAATCATTTAGTTGATAGTGGAAATTTGGGTGACGGAGTGCCGTGGTTTTTACCTTAGGAAGCCACATAAAACTTGATTGTGTTGTTGTTGTGTATGTTTTACTTTGAACTCTACTGAATTGCTTTCTAAATGATTCACATAAAGAGGGAGATTTGGTGGTCTGTTTTTCTCATCAAGCACTACACAAGTCGAATGAATTAGAATTTTTAAAATGTTCTTTCCACTATTGAAAATTCATTAATGATAAAAATATGTATCACTTCATAAAATCAAGTAATAAAACTCTAATTTTATAATGCCATAGCATTTTCTAATGATAGTATTTTTCTGATGAGATTCTCAGGAATATGACATTGATATTTGATATAAATCTTATAAAAGAGTAAACAATTTTTTCCCACCCAAATTATGGTTTAATGACACTTACCTACCCACAGACTTTAAAAATATCATTTTATTACCCAAATTTTTATGTATTGTTGTGACCACCATTCTCTTCCCCGATCATCACTCTCCAAAACCCCTCAAGCCGTACTCTTGCTACCCCTACCAATCGCCAAAAATCGAGCGATTAAGGTTTATGCAGCTGTCTCTCCCAAGTTAAATTTCAATCAATCTCAATCACTAAAAGACTCATCGGCCTTCCCTCTTCAAAAGCCCTAACAGTCTGCACCGAGTTTGCCGCCAGAATATAAATTTGGGTAATAAATTTGGGTAATATGACATTGATATTTGATATAAATCTTATAAAAGAGTAAACAATTTTTTCCCACCCAAATTATGGTTTAATGACACTTACCTACTCACAGATTTTTAAAATATCATTTTATTACCCAAATTTATATGTATTGTTGTGACCACCATTCTCTTCCCCGATCATCACTCTCCAAAACCCCTCAAGTCATACTCTTGCTACCCCTGCCAATTGCCAAAAATCGAGCGATTAGGGTTTATGCAGCTGCTTCTCCCAAGTTAAATTTCAATCAATCTCAACCACTAAAAGACTCATCGGCCTTCCCTCTTTAAAAGCTCTAACAGTCTGCACTAAGTTTGCTAAAAGTTTGCCGCCAGAATATAAATTTGAGTAATGAAGTGGTATTTTAAAAATCTGTAAGTGAAAAAATGTCATTAAACCATTATTTGGGTGAGAAAAAGTCGTTAACTCCTTATAAAATTAGATTTTTTTATGAAAAAAGAAGAGAGGGTTGTCACTTATGCATGGGTCATGAACAAATTTATTTTTATTCACCTACAAAATATGAATGTATCTTTAGTTCACTAATGTATGATCAACTTCAGCTTTATTCCAATTTGAGTTTCAATCTTTTTGATGTAACTCCAAAACTAAGTCAGCTGCAAGAAAGCCANATCAGTAGTTAAAGGCTTGCATGATAACAGCCATGATCGTGTGAAATCTGGTGAAATCTTGTAATTAATGTTAGAATGATTATAGCATTGTTTATAGCAGTTTACAATGTAACCATTATTTTGTAAAGATTATAAATACAGAGTATCACAGCCTGTTGTAGGTGTGACGAATTTCCCAACTCCTCTGCTTTAATTTTTCTTCTTTCTCTACATCTAGGCAAGTCTTCTCATAGAAATCAAAGCTAAGACTGTCTGCCTTGGGTGGTCTTGCCCTGCAAGGGATCAAAACAAAGTGCAAGAAGAAGAAGAGGATTAAGAGGTTGACTGAAAAATTAGGGGACAAATATGAACTTACAGCCATGAAGCAGACTAAAAATGAAGTTGATAATGCATGTGATGCCTCAGCAACATTGATACATAATATATACTGTGTGTACAAATAAATATACATATCATTAATGAGTTTGTTGTTTTTAGTATCTGATGTTATGGAAAGAACCAACCAAAGGAACAACCAAGACAACAAGAAAAGACAGCATACACAATCTTTGATTTTGTTGTGTACCACATAAAAGTGTTGGCCTTTCTTTTTTGTTGTTTTAACTTCAAAATAAATTCAAAAAGAATGAAAGAGAAGCTTGCTTCAAACGAAAAATTGACAGTATATTTTGCTCTTCATGTGATCTGAAAACAAAACATATATATTGACAGAATGAAATTTGATTTAACAAGTCGGCCTATTAATTTGTAATTTGACAAAAGCTAAATAGCTTCATTGGTGATTACCTATCACCTGTATATTTGTTCTGAGATGAAAATAAAAGCTTTTTGGACTAGTGTGGACAAGAGTAAATCACGTGGAATGAAGTGTCTAGGCACAGCATCGTTTGTCCCATTGTTGCTAAGAATCCCAAAGAGAGAGCTCACGGGCATGGAGATGGATCAGTTGCTCAGAAATTTTAATGCCATGCCTTTTGAGTTTTGCCCATCTCTAATCTCCTGCCAGTAGTTTGAATTTTGTTTGATGAGCTCAAACCTTATACTCTGCTATTAATCATATCGAGGCATGGGACGATGCTCCTACATCTTTTTCACAATTGTTTGATTAATAAGTGCAAAACTATTGAGGCCCAGTTGCTTAGCATTGTTTAAGTTTGGGCCGAAATTGGGTTGGGTGCGTCTCGGACCAAATTTAACCACAATAGAAACTTGTTCAAATCAACCCCTCTCACTCTCTGCACACGTGCATGTTCTCCCCAAATTAAAATATAACATAAGGGGAGTTATGATCACAATAATTGAAGTTCATAAATCCAAATGTTTGAACTAGTGAATGCATGACACAAATATGAAATATATATAGATAGAAGCAGGGACCAAAGAAGCATTTTAAACGGAATTTTTGAGGTGGAAATAGATGAAGTTTCCCATTTGTGATATGAAATATTGTCAACTCCAGTGACCCCATTCCCAAGCTGCCCATGCATGCTTTTCCCAACATTTGCCAGCTCTTTTCGTTATATGATGTGCCAGTGCCACTTTATAATTGCCATTGGGGTTGCAAGTTTCAACTCCATTCATCTTATTAATAAAACCATACTTAATTTTAAGTATTGGTATTACCTGAATTTGATTTATAAAATATCTTATTCACCTCCTTATTGACTTCTTGAGTTCAAACCACCTTGGAGTCACCTACTACATTTGTGACTTACCTAGAATATTAGGTTTGTAGGATGTTCAATGAGTTTTTGGGATTAGTTGAGGTAAGCATAAGTTAGTACAAATACCTCACTGGTTAAAAAAAAAAAAAAAAAAAAAAATCCAAATATATCCTTAAAAATCTATTGTATCATGGTGAGTGATTTTGATTTGAAGCCAATTATGTGATATGTGATAATGGCAATTGGTCTAACCCATCACTGTTAACTTTTATTCTGAACAAACTTTTAAAAATTGAGAGAGAGAGTGGAGGACCCCAAAAAGCTTTTGGTATTCAAAATTAGAGTTGATAATCCAATCCATTACCCTTCTAGGTCTAGTTGCTTCTACTACTTGTAGTCCTAGTCTAGGTACCTTGTTCTAAATCAGTAAAGCTTAAGAAGTATGGAGATTTGGTATAGAGATTAAAGGCAATATCTATAGTCTCTTTCATCACCAAAAGAGAAGTTTTAATGCTTTAATAATTGAATGTTGGTTTGGTTTGGTCTACATATATTCCTCTTTTTCAATCCACTTTTTTCCTGTTGTGAGACCTACAAACACACGGCCCATTCTTTGATTTTTCCTCTTGAACTTCCTTTCCCATAGTTTAGTACTGGGGTTGGATAAGGGTTTTCTACTTTGCTTGTATTATAATTTCATTAGTGTTTAAGAAATCTCACTGAAATAATGAACTACATCTGTCCAAATCATTTATTAACTAATAATTGACAATGGGACGAATGTTTAATTTATATATGAAAAAGTAAAAAAAACAAATAGTATAGTAATACGAGTATGATATTTGATCCGACGGAGCATGTGTTTGCAGTCCATTGTAACAATAAAGGATGAGATTCAAATAGGTTATTTTTAATAGAAAATTATTTATTTATGGCACGAGTGTATCTTACGTGGGAAATTAATTATTGGACGTGATTGATGATACATGAAAGTTTTGGAGCCAATATTAACAGTATAAAACTTTTTCCCACCCAAATAATGGTTTGAAGACATTTTTCCGTCCACATATTTTTAAATTACTGTTTTATTATACAAATTTATATCTCATTTCCAATTCTGGCATTATTGCAATCTCACATCATCATCATTATCTTACCCAATTATCACCTATCAAAACCCCTCAAATCATACTCTCGTCGATCCCGCCAATCGCTAACAATCGAACGAGTAGGATTTAAATAATCGCTCCTCCCAAGTTAAATTCTGATCAATCTCAACCATCAAAATATAATCTTCTACCACCAAAAAATTTAATTACCTCTCCTCTCTAAAAACCCTAATCTAGTATGCTCTCTGTTCACCATCGAAATATAAATTTAAATAGTAAAATGGTATTTTAAAAGTCGATGGGTGAGAAAGTATTATTAAAACATTATTTGGGTAGGAAAAAGTCTTTAACTCCCCCATATTAATGGGCTGAAT